TCGTAATTTCGGATAGATCGTCGGTTCGGTTTTACTTTTTCTGGTATGATAATCGTCGGCAGATTTTTAACGGTGCCGGTACACTAAACTGTTTCTGAGCCTACAAATGCGCCGTAGTCAAACTTTTTTAAATTTTGGGGTAGTTTACAAATGCGCCGTAATGCTTATCGTTATGCAGTATCGGTATGTAGGTCATATATTGAATTCGTTCCGACCCCCTAATTACAAAATCCCGGACAGAAATATCAATACTTAAAATAAATTAACAACGATGGACTTATTTCCATTGGTCGGGTCATATGAAACTTGAAAAGGTTGATCGTTTTTACTGCATTGATCAGATCATGTGAATATTGAAATTGGGGGTAGTATTATTGAAGCAGTATAATGGTCTAATAGATATATATTATTACGTATACTAAAATTTTGCAAAAGGTGTTACTGTCGATTTTTGTTACACCTGATCTTATAATTTGATTGGTAGATGAAGAATGGCGTAGTCTATTCTAGTCATTGTTGTGGCCATCCGCCTATGAAAATCCACGAATTATTCTAGTTTAAAATTCGGTAAGGTTAGAGTTAGTGATATATTTGACGCTCGGAAATATAGAACATAAAGTAAAATTAGTCAAGGAGAAGGTTTTATTAGAACGTGAAGGACGGTTTCTTAAGTGAATTCTCAGGATAAAGAAGTGTTAATTGCGATTTCGCATCGGCTAATTGTTGGCGATCATCAAGTGATCGAAAAATTCCCTATAAAAAAAAGTTTGTTCAGTTATTGTAGGCATTGTCCGAAAAAATGTTCGGGATGGAGTTGATTTTCCGAATGCCAGTACGATACTGTACTGTGATGTAAAAAAAAAAAATTTTGGGCTGACAACTTTAGGTATAAACATTGTACAATATACGGTATGTTCGGGCCATTCCGAACATTTTTTTGAACAAAAAACAGAATAATTAAAGAAAATTTTAAAACATTGCCAACAAAATTTGGACAAAGTTTTTTTATAGGGTTTATAATTAACCGTCATAAGACGTGGTGTATTTTGTAATAACCGTTTTTAAAACAAAAGAAACATTTTTGAATGTACTACATCTCATTAAAGCATAATTCATAAATAGAATATTTGCGGGGAGTACAAATAAAGTTAAAAAATTTTTGTTCTTTACGTTTAACGACAATTTACAAATGAATAATTGTTTAATAAAAATAAACAAAGCTAATGTGCGTACGTACTTACGTACTTATCAGTTATGTTTCCGGATCAATTCTAGGGATCAATTCAGAAAGTATATTGTGTGAAATTTCAATTTCCTTATTAGTTCTTCGGCCGTCGAAAATCTGCGTAAGAATATTCACGTTCAGGGTTTATTATGACTGCATTCGATATCGATGGTATAATGCATACACGTACGTAACGGAATTCGGTTTTGGAAATTTATATTGATAGCATACGACTATCGGTTACACTGAATTATGTGATCGAGTGACTACGTGAACTGTATCCTATTAAAGTATTAATGACTAATAAAAAATTCAAGGTAAGCCGGAATATGGTTCCGATATAATACGTAAGTGATATCATAATCTTGTAATTTAGAGTGTCTTATCAATGAATTTGGGGTTCAATTGTTCAATTTAGATATAAAATAGAAACATTGTCATACATATATTTTCCCATTATGTCATGTATTAATAAAGATTAATGAAAGGATTTTATGCAAGAACTCTTCTGCGGATTTCTTATACAAAGAAAATTAAAAGTTTGAATCAGCTTGTGGCGAAGGAGAAACTAAGGAGAGACCAAGGAGAGACTAAAGAGAAAGGCAAATTATTTGAAATTTTTTTGTTAATGTTTTTGGAAAATCCTATAGAGCTTTGGCGTTCTGAATTTGCATATTTGCTTATTTCAGAATTATAGCGTACAATAATAGTACTCGGAAAAATACAAGAATGTATTATTAGCGTTCTAAATCATAGAATATACTTTGAATATTTTATACGCATTTTTCCAGAGGGGAAATACCTTGATAATATTTGAAGTATAGTTCATACTACAGGATTAGGATAAGTATATTTCTTCATTTAGTTAGTAAACTTGACGGTTAATTGCAAGTTTTAATTGGTATTAATACACGCATTATTAATATAAACGCGTCATACATTACTCAATTCTTTTGAAATTGACTTGGAATACGTTTTTATTATGGTCTATTTATAAGTTTTGTTCGCTTTTTTCGGAATGCACGTTATTTAATCAAATTGATCGTCTATCACGTAACGTGAAGAATTGTAATGGAAGATTATGGATGAATGTAATGGATAATATAAATGAATGAATATGACAGAAAATATAAATAGTAAATATTAATGAATGGCAATATATAGAGGAAACAAGGTTCATAAAAAGGGGTCATTTCATTTTTCTTGTTAATAAATTGTATTATTGATTGCATGATTAAAAAAAATTGACTGATTTCGCGGTTGTAGCTGCAAACGTTATGAATATTCGTTGTTTTATTTAATAAATTGCATAGTTACTTACGAAAAATAAGCATATAACGTTATAATAATAATATAAAAAAATCAAAAAATCAAAAATTTTTTATTGTATATAACAATGTATTATATTTTGTTTATTCGACAAAAATGTCAATTGTTGATCCGGAAATTAGTCCGTTAACGATGTAATTTTTTATATAAATAACAGCAAAAAATCATTCATCTTTTTTAACAATCTTCATTTGATTTATAAAATGGCAGAAGCTTCACAAGTCAAAATGCTCAATATTCAAGAAATTGAGCAGCTCAACATCGATGAATTCGCAGGAAATATCTCAAAGGGCAGTAAAAGTTTAAATGCTTTTTTTGTATATAGAAAAGTATTCACGAAAAGGGCTATAGCTAGTGGAATAAAAATGAAAATGACTGAAGTCTCAAAATTATCTGCTGAGGCCTGGAACAATGAACCTCCAGAAATTAGAAAAGCCTATGCTGACGTTTCAAAAAGAATTGACAATGTATTACAGAAAAAAAGGCAAAAAGATATGACTTATCAGATCGTCTACGATGGGAACATGACAAAAGTCCAAACGCCTATTCCACAAGAACAAGAATCTCCTATGGAATCTCCTGTAGAATCTCCTATATTGATCCCATCTTATCATGATTTGATACCGGGCACTCAGTTTTTCCCTCTTAATGATGGGACATTTCTTAATGATGGGACATTTCCTAATGAACATTTATTCGATATAAATTCATGCTATAACTTTTTACCCATGGATCCGATAAATGATCCTTTATTCGATATAAATTCATGTTATAACTTTTTACCTGTGGATCAGATGATCGATCTTTACCTCAATTATCCATGGTTATTTCAGCATCAATAAAATGCATAAATATAAATATGAGCGTTATTTACAGGGCAGGGAAAACTAAGAAAGGAAAATTATGCAACATTTTAATGATTTTAATAAGATTTTAATAAGATTTGAATAAGATTTTTATAAGATTTGAATATGATTTTTATAAGATTTGAATAAGATTTATGTTTCGTAATAAGATGATATTTAGTAAGAAATTTCGCACGGGTACTTATTTATTAACTATGAGAGTTCACAATATCTTCCCAATTTTTTTTTTTTTATATATTTTATTTTTATTTAAAATTTTTTCCATAAATACTTTCCATATATTTTCAATCCCGATTATCTCTCAAAAATAAAATTATTTTTTGCATTTTAATCAATCATGACTTTCAACTATAAATAATCAATTCATAATATAAAATGCTTTAGTAAATTCAAAAGTCGGATTTGATTTACGTACGTACGTATCATTATATTATTCGAAAACTGGTTAAATTAAACCCTGTTAAGTAAATGATTGTGCCACTAAAGCTGCAGAGAAAAAAAAAATGTCGTTAGCGCATCAAGTCGTTTTGTACAAAAACTATAATATATTAAGTCGTTTATGCAAAAAACTGTAATAAATCGATTCGTTTATATTAAGAATTTCGCATGCAAAATTTGAAATTCGGTTTAAATTTCACATTACTATCGTCACGATCAACTTTTATGGTTTCTTGATGCACAGTATTAATTGCTAGATTTATTCGTGTGTCGAGTAGAAATGATCCAATCCAAACAAAGAAAATCTTTAAACAATTGTCCTAATAAATCGTTCTTCCAATTGTTTATTTTTTTGTTAATGCCCAAATACTAAACGAATCTTGTGTTTCATCCCAATTCCAAGTACTGTCCATAAAAGTGTGATGTGACCCAAAGCCTAACATATCCAAAACCAAGATCTGTCTTAGCGTTACCAATCTAAAAAATCTCACTGATCAAATTAAGATCTAATGTAACTTAAAATCAAAACAAATAATATTCAACCTCTAACACTAACGCTGGTTGCGTTGGTGATACACGAGCCGATCTTTCTATTAATAAACGTACGAACGTACGTACATACGTACCTAACCATGTAACGTTAAATCCAATGTTGGGGCATTCTATTCTATTTTAAATGTTTTATCTTTAATTTTTATAGTAAATGATTATACCAAAAATGGGGATCGTTTAAAGCCAGGCAGTAATTTATATTCCTCACGTGACCTTTATTTTACAAATTTATTATCAATCAACTTAAAAAACTATATACCTGGTTTTAAACGATCCCCAAAAATAGAAACCAATTCTGAAATATTCTCTTAAGCGATAATTGGCTTACAATTATGTTTTTTGATTTAGTTTTTTTTGCCTTTTCAAGATACTTGATTGCAATTGATTCTATGTATTCATAGTATAAAGATCAATTAATAATTAGTCCAAATCAACTCTTTTTTAGCAAAAGAGATGAGATCTTAAAAAAACTAAATTTTGCTAAAGTTAGTTTATTTTCTATATATATATTTTTTTGTTGGATTAATATTAAACATTTTTGTAATAATATAAAAGCTTTTTATCTTTTTTTGGCAACCTTGCCAGTGATCCTTTATTAAGATTATTGTATAAAACTAGTTATATAATGTTGAATTTAATATTTAGGTTTGACATCTTTTGGCTGTCTCTATAAATGCCCAAAAGAAGTTTGTCACACTAGGTAAAGTTATATTATCTCATAATCTAGAGAAGTTTTATCAAGTTGTTTCAGAAATCTTGAATTAGTCTTAATTTGTTTTCAATAAGCCAAGTTTATCTATATATTAAATAGCATCACTCTGGCTGAAACCAGTACTTGTAGTCAAAGCAAACCATGTCTATCTTTATATCTATTTAGCTATCTAAACTACTTTTTTTTATAAAACTATTTTGCTATCTTTTTAACTTAATACATTTTTTTCTTTTTTTTTTTAATTTATTTTATACTTTTTTGTAGATAACTTAACTTTTATTCTTTTATACTTTCTACTTCTTCTTTATATCTTCTATTATCAAATCTTTGCTATTTAATATTGTTAGTTTTTTCTTTAGTTTCTTTTTTCTGTTTTTTAATTTGTTTTAGTTTCTTATTTCTTTTTAATTGGTCTTAATTTTCTTTAATATCTGCATTAAAAACTTTTTTTATGATTTCACTAATGCATTCTCTATTAAATCAACTTCTTTTTCTTTAATCTTTATAATTTTTTCTTTAATCTTTTAGTCTTCTTCTTTATTTATCTTGTAATTAAAAATAGATTATTGTTAATTTTCCAAAATAATAAAAAAGATTTTCTAATATTTTTCTTTTTTGATGTATTTTTTGTTTTGCCTTTTTTTCTAAAGTTCAATATCAATTTTTTATAATATTATAACTCTCTTAAGTAATCTTTTAAAACATTGTTAATTAAAATTTCTTTTATATTTATATAATCTTTTATTTTATTTATACTCTTTTTTCTTTATTTTTTTTAATAATCTTTATTTTATACTATTCTTTTTTTCTTTTTAGTTTTGCTTTACAATATATATATTTTTTAACTTATCAAAAAGAGTCTTCTATTCTTTTTTTTTTTTGTTGAGATTTTTGCTTTATTTTTCTCTATCTATAAGTTTGTATCTATATTCTATTTTGATTTAATTTTTTTAAATAATCTTTTATTTGTTTTTCAAATATTTTTATATTTGTTAAAATCTATAAATTTTCTCTACTTTTTTTTTTCAGTATTAAGGTGACTTCTTAGTCACTTTTCTTTTATTTGATTATTGTTAACTTTTACAGTATAGTATATATTGTAATATTAACAAATTTTTATTAACATTTTTTTTATAATTTTTCTTAAATTTTAGTATATATTTTATATGTTTATTATATATTTTATTATTTTATTAGTTTATTTACATA